CACTTTGTAAACCAAAGTAGTATGAAATTATGACCACCACAAAAGGGTGATGTTAAATGTCAGACTGGGAATAAGCAAATGAAAATTCATTAACAAAATGTCCATATTATTAGACTACAGTCTGATAAATATGTTTCACTGTTTTCAATAACAGATAATTATCTTGTTCAACTTTCTAGTTGTACATAAGTATTTAGGAATTAAATGCTTAAAATCTACAAACAGATTGGGCATGGTAGCTCACCCCTACCTCTAATCCCAGCACTTTTGCTGGCTAGGGCAGAAGGATCACAGAGGCCAGGAATTCTAGAAGAGCTTAGGCCACATAGCAAGACCCCATCTTATAGAAAATTAAAATTAAAAAAAAAAAAAGAAAATTTAAAAAAAAATTAGGCTGGGTATGGCTGCACACATCTGTAGTTTTAACTAGTCAGGAGGCTGACACAGGAGGATTGCTTGAGGTCAAGAATTTAAGGTCACAGTGAGCTATAGTTGGGCCACTATACTCCAGCCTGGGTAACACAGTAAGACTCTTTCTTTAAAAAAATTAAAAATTAGAATTAAATTAAAAAACTAAAAATATACAAACAGTGAATGATGGGAGGAAAGAATGTGCTTTTTTAATGTGCAAGTATTAATTCAAAGCAGGGCACTGACTCAAAGTAATGTTTCTACTTTTGGAATTTTTTATTGATAAAATCTATAATGTGAAATTTAGCTTCTAATTTATTTATTTATTTATGTATTTTTTGAGACAGAGTTTTACTATATTGCCCTTGGTAGAGTGCCATTGTATCATAGCTCACAGCAACCTCAAACTCTTGGGCTTAAGTGATTCCCTTGCCTCAGCCTCCCAAGTAGCTGGGACTATAGGCACCTCCCACAATGCAGGGCTTTTTTTTGTTGTTGTTATTGTTGCAGTTGTTTAGCTAGCTTGGGCCAGCTTTGAACCCACCACCCTAGGTGCATACGGCTGGCGCCATAACCACTGTGCTACAGGAGCCAAGCCTTGGCTTCTAATTAAAACACAAATTGCGGCTCGGCACCTGTGGCTCAAGTGGCTAAGGTGCCAGCCACATACACCTAAGGTGG